GACCAACATTCTTCCTATTTAAACTTAACAAAGCAGAAGGTCTACTAATTTCTTTCTTTACATTTTCAACCATGCACACAAACCTCAAAAGCAATAAATTACTTTAAGCTAACACAGAAGCATTAAGTAAGCAGCTCCTAGATGTCAGTGCCTCCTGGGCCTGATTTCCTCCCAATAGGGATGCAGCAGAGAAGGCAAATAAAAGAAGAACCAGAGTATCTGTCATCTGACTTGGCTTCTGTGTACAATGTGCTGCAGTTTGGAGAAGCCAAAAATTGTAGCAACACCAGAAGCACCTTTCATTTACCCTGAAATTATGGTGTGTGTGCCTAGAAGAACTGCATAGCATTTTACCAGTAATAAAATGGGGGAAAAAATTGGGACTTTTTTGCCCCACAGGGATTCAAGCTTAGTCCAGAATATCATACTACTAGCAGAGGAGGAAAACCATGGAGATGTGAAACAGTACTAACTGAAAATCAGCCAAATCAGTGCAGCCACTGGAAAACTAGAAGCAACCTAGCTCAATGTAGGAAAATAGAGTGCAAGGTGCACAGATGTCAAATTATGGAAGTGTAAAAGTTTCTCTTGCTGAAGAATCACAGGCACGTGTCTGTGGGAAACAGTTCAGTTGCAGATACACATTAGGCGTACCACTAAAGAAGTTGGGTGCTCTACTGTAGTACTTCCATTACAATCATTTTCTAAAAGCTTTCATATTTTCTCAAATCTTCAAACTTTTTCACAGCCTGAGGAAGCCTTGACCATGTTCATTATTGCCCTTTATATCAGTAGGTCTGTTAGGCAACATCTTATTCTCTGTCTCACTGATCAGTAATTCTCTCAATCTCATAGCCGAACACTTCTCATTTAAACAATATCTTTTCCTTCAGTCTTGCAAATGAAGCAAATTGAAAATAGAGCTGCATTTCAACTGTGCCCTTAGTGTTTCAATGTGATTTGATGCCAACACTTTGATCCAGAGTGCCAATCATTCCGCCCCCTGAAGTTTAAATGAAATCAGCGCCATCGGTAGGTCTGATGTCAAAGCAGCAGTTCAACATATTGAAAAAAAGCTTGAAAAATCTTTCTGGTAAGCGTCGCTCACTTATTACAAAGCTGACCAGAGAGAACCACATCATGATCACCCTATTCATTCAGCCAGTGAAACTTGGTCAACAGAGCATCACATAAAAAAATTACAAGTATGACCCTGCAGCAACAATGTGTCCTTTACTCCTACATGCCAACTCATTTTACATCCCTCAAGGAAAGAAAAGCATCACGAATCTGCATTGAAGATGACAACCTGATGTTAGGCTTGGTGGGCAACAAAAACTGAGCCAAATTATCTGTTGATTTAATGTTACTTGAGTTTGGAGTGACTTATCACCTACAAAACACATCTGTAAATGATTTTAATTGTTAGTATAGTCACATGGAAGTCTTTAAGATGCAAGCACAGCCTAAAATTTTTTCTTCTGAGACATGGTTATAGCTAGGGGTGCAACATTGATCTGGATCGATACATCAATCAAACACCCCGCAATCTGACTGATGCAAAACATAAACATTGATGTTTTAGGTGTTTATATTTTGACAGCCAGCCACATATGTACATATTTCTGGTGAAGCACTGTTCTTTTCAAACTGGACAAAAAGTGCCAGGCAGACCAGCTAGCATTCTGAGACTGGGAATTCATACTAAAAGTGAGATGTGACCAGCTATTGCAGTGTTTGCTCCATTCAGACCACAACGACTCAGACCTCCGTGCAGCATCACTTTGGCCAGAACAGATGTTTATCTGTTAACAAGACTGTCTGGGCAAAGAGTCTGTGGGTATTACGATTTGTTAAACGCACCAGAGAGAAGACACTTAAAGCATAGAAAATTGGGTGGGGTCTAGGGTTGACACATGTCTCGCATGTCTCCGAGTCAGGGTTGATTGACACATTTGATCATTTGGGGTTTTATCTGTTGCATGAGAGGGGGAAATGACAAAACATTTTCTATGAGAATTGGCAATGAACTGTAGCAGCCAAGAAAAATACACAGATAGAATAAACTCTCCCATCAGAAACAAGTTGTAGTATGGACGTATTTTGGATTATAAAGGATGCACACAACAGTAAGCGTGAATGTTAAGTCTTAAAACTCCCACAGTAATGTAGGAAATACATATTTTTTGGCTTTGTTGTTTGTGTGACGATGTAAATGTTTCCCATCTCAAAAAAGTTTGTTGAATTGGAAGGTCATCATTGGTCCTTATTTGTATTTATTTAGCACTGAAAAGTGAACAGAGGAGCTCAATAACTTTTTAAGATTATACTTGTTACATTTTTGTTACTAAAAATATAACTGTGTGAAATCGGCAGATAATATTGCTTGATATCGATTGTAGGCCCCTGAATCAAAATCACATTGTGGCATATTATTTAAGTATCGTCAAACATTAGATTACTGGAAAAGAGCGTTGATATAGGACTGCATCATGAGTGGCTATTTACACCCACAGTTATACCCTAGTTTACCAACAGGTTTAAGCTTCTCTTGTCAGTGAACCACCAGCACGTTATGTTTGATACATGCCAGCTTGCAGACTAAAGAATATAAGAATAGCCCATATTTTTTATGATTTCTCTGATTTATATTAAAAAGTTTTTCCAGCACATTTGTGTTAGCTTCCTATTCACATTTGGCTGGATGCGCATCATAGAAACATAAGATAACAGGCTGTGCATTACACTTTAATGGAGTTGGAAAATAAACCAGCCACATCGTTGCAACCGTTAGTCGTTTCTCTTGTCAGCCCCCCCACAGAGATTGCATGCATCACCTACATTTTTATGGCCAAAACTGCTGGATGAACAAAGGGAATAAAAAATAAAAATAATAATAAAAAAAAAAACATCCAATTTCTCTATTATAGACCGTCAGCTAAAAGCAGCGTGAAGGAGGCAAGTACAGTCTAGCTGCCCACTGCCTCAGACATCCGCTACGCTGAGATACCTTAGATAAACTTTATAAAGTAGTTCCAATGACAATGGCTGTTATGACATGTCAGTTAGGGCTGCACAATAAATCGTTTTGTGAGTGTGACTTAAATCCCTGTGTGATCTCAATCTCGCATGACAACGATTCTGCCATGTTTGCATTAGCAGGGAGATGCCTTGCATCAAACCAAGCACCCCCTTTTCCTCGCTCACCTACGATGCCTTATAGCAGAAATGCGTTACATCATGTGATGAGCTGTAGACAGGAAGAGACGACTGATTCAAAAACAAATCCAACATGTTTGACATTGTAAAAGATTTTGTGACCTCCTACAACTATTTTCAAACTATTTTCACTGGCTGCCCTATACACCTAATGCCGAACGCAGTTGAGGCAGAAATAAAACACTCTGAGGTTATTAGTTGCAGTTAACGCAGTTTAGCATCAAAAAAGGAGCACTTAGTTTGATGCAAGCTATCTCACTGTTCAGCCAAACATGGCAGAACTATTGTCCTGTGAAACTAAGATCGCACAGGGATCTAAATCACGCTCACAAAATGATTTAAGTGCAGCCCTACTATTGGTCGACTCAGCTGCCAGGCCTCCTCTGCTCATCCACCTTCCCAAAATATTTTTAAAAAGGTAACAATTACTCCGAGGTGGCTGCTCTGAGTAACACAGGTGAACATTTCAGAAAAACACTCATCTTATATTAAAAAAAAAAAAAAAGAATAAAAAAAGATGATGTTATTAGTGCCACAAAATTTCCTACTTTAGCATGCCATCTGCATAACAAGCTATCAGCCTACTTGTATGTTTTGACAGTGGTAATAGACAGTTGGCCTAACTGTGCCCTCCTCCTCAAAACTAAGCCCATTAGACAAAGGTCATAAACAGATTTCTGAATGTTGTGTTTCACTGAGCCTATACAAGGATATGTTCCCACACAATTCAAATAACAGAAATTGAACATCTTTGCACAAATGGTACCACTACCAAACAAACAGACCTAAACTTCTGCCTTGTCAGCTGTATGAGCTTCCATGCAGCTCATTACACCAAATCTCCTGATGTCTTGCTTAAGAAAAAGATGCTTTATGAAGTATTCTGTCATTTACACTAAAAATATAAGTGATCTCTGCCCATTATGGTACTCAAAGACCTCAACTAAATTAGCAGTGCACTGCAACCAACCACTCTGCAGCCAACACTGATGATTATCTGTAAACTTTGGGGAGCTACAAGTTTCAATCAGCTGTGAACAGTTAAGTCACACTGACTGCTACATTCACAATTTGCACTAAAAGCAAACTTGAAATAAATGCACATATAGTTAGCCTCTGCTTATTTTAACAAACCAGTGACCTGAATTTGCCCCTAAAATGTACATGACAGGCTTCAAGCATCTCTCTGCTACAGGTGTAACCCCTGCAGGCAGTTGCCACTGATAGGAACAAGGAGTACAGAGAAAGCAGCAAAACCACAAATGCCAGCTGTTGGGGAGATCTGCATTCACATCAAGACTCCCATCACTTGCAGCTGAGTGTGTTAAGACTTGGAAGGTGGATGCAGTATACCTTACAGCAATTAGATCTGCTAAAACATTAGAGCTATGTATATCACAACCAAAGGTCCTGTGGCTAACAGTCATTAGTTTATCATTAGGGCCCTTACAGACAAAATGCTCCTTAAGTGTGTTCTCCAAAACTAAGCTCCAGACTTACAATACATATGATACATTAGATCACATGTTTCTTTTATAAAAAAAAAAAAACAGGTCAGTGTTCTTATAAGGAAAAAGTAAGTGAGTACCTGTCTAACATAACCACTGCAAATCTCCACAACAGAGGTTCGACCTCGCTTTGCCTGTCACAATACTGCAGCAGTGCAGCTTCCTAGCAGAGGGAAGTGGAGAGGCTAGGTCCTGCTAACTGCATTTTAACATTTGTAAACACTTCCCACATGCTACCTGAGAGGATGAGAGACGCATGGCCATGCTACTCACCGAAGGTAGTACTGTTTTAAAGCGAATGCAGCGTTGGAACAACTCCTTGGAAAGTTAAACTCTTCCCCAAGTTCAATCCACTGGTTTTTGTCAGAGACCTGAAAAGGGGAAATGGGTTCGTTAGTAGATAAACAACACCGGCAACAACAAAAAAGAGACCTCAACCATCTGTTCTGCCACGAGTTTCCCCAATGAGGCGAGATAAGAGTCACTAATCGATAACTTTCTCAAACTGCTGACATTATTTAACAATACTCAATAACAGTGTCTGATGACACGTTTTGCACAGTAGCATATAATTAGCCACTAATACATTTATTAACCGAACATATTTACATTTGACACATCAGTTAAGTACAAACTGTCTGACTCCCTTTAGAATACTCTCGTTGCTGTTGAAGCTAGTTAGCCCTATAGCTAACAAGCTAACTTGACGTTTCTATTTCCCGTTAAAACACAACGAGACCAAACTCCAACTGTATCCATCAAAAAACAAACGATTTAGCCTACAGCGACCTGTTTGATTTTGGAGTAAGTTAGCTTTTAGTCCCGTTTACTGTGTTCACCAGATGGGCCTGTGAGGCCTACATTTTCAGATCAGCCATGAAGCAGAAGAAAGATGGCTATGGCGAGAAAGAAAAATCAAGCTTCCCCTGGGTGAAAACTACCGGTAAAACCCCGGGCGAAACCCCGCGTCCTACGCGGTGTTTTCCAAGGCCGGGCTCCGTGCCGATAATCGATGTTAAATGTGCCCGCTAATTTTGAGTCGCTCCAACTGCACTCCGACTCCGAGCGGTTGGACTTTCAATTCAAACCACACAACAACACAAGCCACCACATTGCATAGGGATACATGGCAAACTAGCACAAGGCCAGCACCGAACTACAAACGTTTTTCCTAGAGGATTACACTTGTCCCGGGTTACCCACACGGAGTTGAAGAGTGGTCCACCGAGGAGTCCACAAACCGCAGAGTGTGGAGAAAATCTACTTTTAGTTCCCACTCACCTTAGCAAATCCACCTAAAGAGACGACTCTGATATAGAGAGCATTCAGATCCAGCTCTTTCCCACCCACGATAGGAATCTTCTTGAACGGCGATCTGAGGGGATAACACAAGAAATAAACACATGTGCTTAAATAACAGTTGTGGTTAGCTATCAGTCACATGCAATAGATATTTAAAGTTACATTTCTTCGAGAGAAAGACGACCCAATCTCACCCTCTGCTTTGGTGAAATTGCCGCAGCTCGTCTAGGAAAGCCTGTCCTTTCCTTCGCTGATCTAGTATATTTTTCCCCGTCGAATTTGCCATTGTTTTTGCATGCAAAAATGGTTGAACCCCACTTCAGTCGCTTGTTAAGACACCAAGGATCCCATACTCCGCCGGCGCTCAGTCATTCGCGAAGCTGAGTGTTTAAAAAGTTAAAGAAAATGCTAATAGCAAGAAGAGCGGCAGCTCGCTAATAAAGACTGATGCACACAGAAAGCCAGTCCGATTCAACCCTGTACTAAGTTCCAACGAACAGTCAGAAATACGACCGATCTACCGACAGATTAAAAAAGCCATGACAGAATGTGTTGAATTAATGCTTTTGGTCGCGGTTGTGTTCGTCTGAAGTGGTTTGACAGTATGCTACGGACGCAGCTCCGAGGCTATCGCACACACTGTAGAGCGGCAGAGGGATCCAGTTCTCAGACAAAAAGATGTGAAGGCCGTGGAGCCCGGCCTGCCATGCGTGCAGCGCCCTCTCTGGCCACATGCAACACTGCACCATCCAGAGCAGAGCGGCTGCTAGAACAATAGAGACTGTTTTCTTTTTTAGGGACCGTCTGAAAACTCGTCTCTCTGTTTGGAAAACGGGTCAGGAGGTACTTGGAAATGTCCCGTGGGGGGAGGGGATAACACTAATTAACGCAATTCTGTTGTTATGCGTGTAATGGAGGGCAACCCTACAGTTTAGTGGTAAAATACATTTTTCCAGGCTAGCAGAAAGCCTTGGTATATTTATAACTGGAGTGTCTAAACTCAGTCATATTGATTAAATGAAGTTAGACTACTTCTGTTAGAAAAGACTACAATCACTCTTGCAATTTCATAATTATACAGATATCACAGGAATATTTTAAAATATGCAGGTAGTTAAACTCAATACTCTACAGAAGTAGTGTTTAATGTCTTAACATAAGAATGTACCAAAGTGTTTACCACTACACCAGATAGCTATATTTTGACATTAACATACATTTTTGGAAAATAACTTTCTTGCATTATTGGTTATGTGCCTCACGACTGTCATATTTTGTCTAAAATGTAGTAGCCTATTCATTGTGACTTACTTAAATCATTTTTGACACCTTTGGGTCTCATCTTATGTTGGACAATATAACAGCGCAAAAGGGGTGGTAACTCAACTGAAATCATGACACAAATAAATGGATTTATATACTCCATATTCTATTCTTGGCTCGATTTAGCTCAGTTTGACATATGGTGCCATATATACTGCAGTGTTCTTGATTCTCATGGAATTTCAAACAATAAATACACTATATTGATACTGGATATCCGGTGCTGGGCACACCACTTGGATAGCTAATTACTTACTACAACAAAGCTATCCTAGGGGGAAATCTAGTTAAGTAAATCTACTTAGAAAATCTGTTAAAATAATTTGTAGAAAGAAAAAATCAAATTCACAATGTAAATGTGGTGCAAAACTATAACAAAATATAATACAAAAAAAATCACATGCCAGCCAAAACATCCACTCAGTTGAGTTTGAGTTTATTACCTGAGACCTAAACCTGTCCTGTCTGGGCTTTTCAAAAAGTTAAAACTTAAATCACTTTTCTATTTTTGTTGTAAGCAAATGTGAATTTTGTATTGTATGACTGAATAATAATAATAATAATAATAATATAATCATCATCATTAAATGTGAAGTTTGTATTATCCGAGTCCAAAATAATCATCATCATCATCATTTCCTTTCCTTTTGTGCCCCCAAATTTTGTTTCAGTTTCAGTGGCCAACAACATAAAACGGCACAAAAACAAGCAGGTAATGTAAAAACTACTTGAATCACTATGCAAACATAAATGTAGCTGAACTGCCACTACTGCAAAATGTAGTACATGTAATAAATTTTGATGATGCAATTTGTTGCTGAAAGCCTATAAACGTTGTTGCAAGCCGTCTTGCCGACCACTTCAAAACGACTTTTATCTCACGGGATGGTTGGAAATTACTCTTGATCCCTCTTCCTTGTAACTGCCAAGCGGATATCTTCTTGATGGGGTTACATTCAACCATTACACGTACCCCTTTGCTCAATGAAAAACCTGTCACAAAATGGCGGAGACGTACGTTAGCAGACCCCATTTTGAGGAATTGACATTAGACAGCGGAAAAGTGCCGGTCCGTGTGTATGATTTTACCAAATAGTGCTCTTCTTTTGCAAACAAACTGCGGCACCTCGGAGTTCATCTCATGCCTGTTTGGACTCCCCACCCGTCAACCGAATTTTGGGTTAGCTCAGTTGTGTGCTAGCTAGCTTAGCTTGCTAACTAAATTAGCGATATTCTCAAGAACGTATTCCGAGAAAATTGTATTACTTCAATTACCCGAGGACTTATCACGTTAACGGAGATTTTATCTAGTGTCTTGTATCGCTACCAGTCGCTATCACCTAATGGTAGTACCGACCGACGAAATCTAGACTTAATTGTTTGTACGCTAACTAGCTGTACCGGCATCTTAATTACATTAGCATGTCAGATTTGAGTCCCTAACACTGCTAACGTTAGCTAATTTAGATAACTACTTTACCTCTTGATGCCGACAGAAGTGGTTCATAATGTTTCAGCCATCATTATTTAGCAATATCTAACCTGAAACACCCAACAGATTAAAAGGCAAGACACCAAAGTCAGTTAGGTTGCTATGAAAATCGTTTCAGACAGACAACCATTGTAGCTAACAGGCCAATTAGCCACCTTATGTTTGTATCTTCGCGTTGCATTTCTATTTGCTAACTTTTCTTCTTTATATTTTACTGGCGGTTGGCAACCATTTGCTAACATTTGGCAGCCCGTGCAGTTACTATGTGATCTCTAAAATGCATCAATTTGTGTTTAGTCTGTCTAGCTACTGTAGTGCACAGTGCATTATAGTTATTTGGCCAAATGATGTGCTAAAGGCGAACCCCATCCCTGTGGCAGAGTTCACCCTTGAAACTGAATTAATGACTATTCTCACACTATTGTCAAACAAAATGTAAAAAAACAAAAAACAATCCGTCCTTTTATTTACTTCACTTAGTTATTTGCCACTTCATTACTGTAGCTAATTTAGTAATGACAAATTTAGCTACTATACCTCTATTATTTGATTTAAAAACTAGGATTTTAGTTATTGTTAGGTATTTTTAGTCAGAAAGAAATTGGATAGATACTTTATGTATTAGAAATGTTTAGTGGAGATAGGATGTCTAGTTAGACTGTTAAATGCTTAGGCATGCTTATGAGTTTCTACAGGGTACTTCTGGTCAAGGATAACTAGAGAGAAGAGTTGATGACTGTCAGCAGACAGGGTGTTTAATATTATTATTATGACGTGTATAACTGTAGACTTAGCCATAATATGTTCTTATGTTTAATATCACGACATGTTACTAGAGGTCGTGTGAGAATGTTTTTAGCTACACACCACTTAATCATCAGACACACACACACACATTGATTTGCTTCATGTTTTGACTACTGCTATGGCCAGCTGCAAAGCTGGCAACAGAGACGTCTTGGTTGACGTTTCTGTGTAGTATGGGGCTAGCCCAACCAAGGTGATATAATGTATAGGCCTGGTTTGGTTTGGGGTCTTTCATCTTTCATCTGCCTGTGAGCAGGTTGGAGGTGCAAGATACCTGAGCGTGTAATGTTAATTTTACCTGTGATCCTTTGAATAAATCAGCACTGTTTTGAAGTTACTTGGACTGTCTCGTCTCTCAGAGTTAGCAATGGTAAGAAGAACCAAAGTCCTTCATTATATAGCCTGTTGAATAATATAATAGAATTCATGTTCTATAGTGTTTGAAGCAACCAAGAAAAACACATGTATTATGATTGTTACTAGAGCGTGGCCTACTTCTGTTGCATATGGCCATTCCCTGTTGAATTGTGGTTTTGTCCTAAAGATCATACTGTATATGACAGTTTGACAGTCATGGCATTTTATTTTGAATTAGTGTCATTAAGGTACACACTAGGGGAATAAAAGTCTTTAAATCTGTAGCCAGATGGAACTTTATGTTCATAACATATTTGTAGCCACCCATTTAAATGGCATTTAAAAAGTGATCATTGGTGTGCCTTGACAGTGAATGTGTACTTGAAGGTTATATGGTCAGTTATACCATCACACAGAGGTTTTCATCTGATGTGATAGTCAGACCTGTCATGGCATATGGTGCAAATGGGGCCAGTAAGGCCAAGCTGTCTCCAAGAACCCAGACAAAAGATCCCAGCGGAAGGATAAGTGCATGTAACATCCTTACACATCCCTTGTCCCTGCTGCTTCCATGACTCAGGTTGATGTCTTCAGAGCAATGAGTTGTTGATTTATCTGGTGGAAAATGGCTCCATCTTCTGGCGTTATATCTAAATGATACCACCCTTGATCCACCTCCATGTTAGGAACATATTGTACTCGGAGGGATACGTTGAGCGAATTGTGACTGATTATAGTCTTAGGTGAAGTAAGATGCATCCTGGGAGATTAGGGAGGGAGGTATAGGAAGTACAGCAGGAGGTTATGGAGTAGGCTACAGCAGCTACACTAAATTTAAGACTTTGTCTTTTAATTTAACTTACTTTATAACATTTTTAATCAGAATAGCATACTTATGTCTGTGATTGTTGTGGATTAAATATTGATGCATGCAATAAAATACACATTGCTGCACATAAACTCTATTCAGTGTATTTTTTTTTATTTTATAGGGACAAGCTACTACCCATTGGACCAGCAGCATTTAAAGCCTAAGCAAGTTTGCAATTTATAAATGTGCAAAACCTCAATAAGACATCATAGAGTTCATACAACTGCACAAAACATGAACAGTGATTCAATAAAGCTACTCTAAAACTAAATGACAAGCACCAGGTCATTCATGATTACATAACCGATCAATCTTTGAAAAATAAAAGCAGCAGTAAAGCAAGCAAGAAAAATTGTTGCCTCTATAAGCAGTAGAAGCTGAATGAATCCCCCTTCCCCCACCATGAACTCACTAAATAGCCAGTAGTAAATTTAAATGTCCAAGTTTGTCAATAAGACTATACAATATTGTTTAATTCTGTTGGTTTTGTAAAATGTATTGTTGGTGAATTGCTGGAAAAGGCAAGGACACATAAATATAACCTATCAATTCCAAGTGAAACAAGAAGCAGACAAAAACAAAACACCTGTCAGTATAACAATACAGTTCACCAGCAGCACAAACTAAATTTTCCAAAATTATCATACAGCTGAATCAACACCTCTCTAAAACATTTTGAAAAGAAGCCAATCATTATAACCTTCAGGGAGAATTTATTGCAGGATTGTTGTATTAGATTGCATTAGTTTAGGTATACCTAATAAACTGACAACTGAGAGTAGCATTGTGTGTGTGTGTATGAATGTGAGTATACAGAATATTTATGGGTCAAGTGGATCCATTTGAAACTCACTCAGTGTGCACATAGTGTTATACGTTATGCATACATGGTGGCAAAAGTCATGGCAACATTAGGTTTCCGAAGTCAATAAATGTCAAATGGAGTCGGGTGTTAGCAAACCTGGAGTCCAATAAAAGGCCCAGAATCAGAGCAGGCAGGTGGAGAGGCAAGACTGATGAGCAGGCAACAGGGACTAGAGACAGTGAAGAACACTGGACACACAGGAAATGTGAGTGAGTGAGGCTGCAGTTTAACAACAGCCACAGAGAGTAAGGGGTCAATAATATCTCTCCCTGAATGGAATCCAAGTCTGGTAATTCCACAGGTAATTTCCTTAAGGAAAATACAAACTAAAAACACACATTGTGCACACAGGAAAATACGGAGCTCAGAAAAGAAAAAAAAAGGCAAAGCAAAAAGGCTTAGAGTAGAGGAGAAATTCAAGCAAATTTGTCTTGAATCCAAAAACAATCTGCCAGTGCTTGCTTGTAAGAAGGACAGAAGCAGAGGCAAAATCCAGAGGCAGGAAATGGTCAGGTAACAGGCAGGATCAGGATACAGGTTCCTCTAGAGGAACCTACTCAAAAGGTGTCTACTATGGCATGCCTGCTTTTGAGGTGCGTTCTGGGAACTAAATTTCAGCACCCCTCAGGAGGTAGTACTAAAATCAGATGAGTTGCTATGGCCAGCTGCAAAGCTGGCAACAGCGACGTCTCGGTTGACGTTTCTGTGTAGTATGGGGCTAGCCCCCGAAGTGATATAATGTATAGGCCTGTTGTGGTTCAGGGTCTTTCATCTTTCAGCTGCCTGCGTGCACGTTGGAGGTGCAAGATACCTGAGCGTGTAATGTTAATTTTTACCTGTGTTCATTGAATAAATCAGCACTGTTTTGAAGTTACTTGGACTGCTTCGTCTCTCAGATTTAGCATGGTAAAAAGTACCGGAGACAACAGTCTTTAAAGACTTCATAGTATTTTATCATCCCAACAGAGCACTTTGCTCTCAAGAGTGCAGGTCTGCTTGTTGTTCCTTTAGTTTACAGAAGTAGAATGGGAGGCAGAGCCTTTAGCTATCAAGCTTCTCTCTTGTGGAACCAGCTCCCAGTTTTGGTTCAGGATGTAAATGCTTTCTCTACTTAAGGTCAGGCTTAAAACCTTCCTTTTTAAGCATAAACTTTATTGCCAAGTATTATCAATAATACAAAGAATTTGACTCCCGCCCAATGGCCTCTGATGTGCACAGCAGTATAAAACCAGAATAAAGCCAAAACCACAAGTTAAAAAAAAAAATTAAAAAAAAAAAACACACACACCACATAACCAGTTAAAAAATAAATACATAATAATGTACATCTGTACAATGTGGTGTTTACTGCATCCTGCCATACCCTTAAACATAGACCAACCTTGGGGGTGGTCCTGTCAGGTTTGCTCAGCCGCTTTGGCCTCCCTCACCTTTCCTACTGTCTCTTGCCCATTTACACTAATCACGTTCACCTGTTCCTCACTCCCTTATCACCAGCTGCACTTGATTAGGTTGCTCACTATATTACCCGGTTTCACTCCTCAGTCACTTGCCAGTTTGTTCTCGTCTCTAGGCCCTTTTTTCTCCGTGCTCTTTCGTTTTTTTGTATGTATTTATCCCCTAGCCAGCTACTGTTTGTGTTTCCCCGATGGACTGTTTCCTCCGGACCGTGGCTCCACTCTCTCCTCCCAGGCAGGTCAATGCTCAGTCGCCTATCTGTTCTACTATTGCCTTCATCTCTCTGTCTCCACCTTCAGTAGCCACCATCACCACCGACCAGCCCAGGAGTGACCCAGCCTACGCAGCTCGGCCCAGCTCTCCATCTCCTCGCCTCCTGCTGTTGGTCAACACCTGGCTACTACTCATCGACAGGACTACACACTATTTCCCTCTGTGTATTGTTACTCTCATCATCACTGTACATAATAAATCACTGCTTGCACCGAAGTCGGCTAACTGGGTCCGCCTCTTTCTCGTTCGCTCACTGACAGGTGCGAACAGCACATAACAGTTCATAAGTGAGATGGCCCAGGGGAAGAAACAGTCTGTGTCTAGATGTCTTGGCATACAGTGACTTGTAGCACCCTCCAGAGGTGAGAAGATCAAACGGACTATGTCCAGGATCTGAGGGGTCTGCAGAAGTCTTCTTTGCCTTCTGTTTGACCTGAGAAGTGTACAAGTTCTCCACGGAGGACAGGCTGGCACTGATGAGTTTTTCTGCAGATTGAATTGTGCACTGGAATCTGTACCTGTCCTGTTTGGTTGCCGAGTCAAATAAGAAAGAGATGGAAGTGCAGAGAACAGGCTCAATAGTTCCTCTATAGAACTCAATCAACAGCTCCTGAGGCAGATTAAACTTCCTGAGCTGATGCAGAAAGTACATCCTCTGTTGTGCCTTTGATGATGGCACTGATGTCGGTTGTCCACTTCAAATCCCGAGAGATTGTGGAACCCAGGAACTTGTAGGACTCCACTACTGAAGCAGTGCTATTGAATATAGTGAACAGAGATATGATGGGGGAAGCTCCTCCTAAAAGCCACTATCATTTCCACTGTTTTAAATGTGTTCAGCTCCAGGCTGTTATGACCACGCAGGTGGGCCAACACCAGTTTCTCAAAACACTTCATGACTACAGATGTCAAAGCGACAGGCCTGTAGTCATTCAGTTCTTTGATGCAGGGTTTCTTGGGAATTGGGATGATGGTGGAGCATTTAAAACAGGAGAGAAATACAGACATCTTTTTCACCAACCTTCAGAGGTGGGGTGCTGAAGGGAAGAGAGGTGGTCCTGGGGGAAGCAGCTACTGATTGTGGGTCCAAGATGAGGTGAGAGAGGGGTATAGAACTTTGCCTCTCAAACTTACAATAAAACTCATTTAGTTCAACCAATTGATAGCGCGCCACAGCAGGGAGGATGGTATCCTGTAACCGGTGGTTCTGTAAGCTTCTCCACACTGATGACAGCTCATTGGCCAGACACTGATTTTTCCTGATGACGGCTCATTGGCCAGACACTGATTTTTTAGCATTCAGAGTAGTTCCTCTGATCTCCTTTGTCAGTACATTTCTGTTAAGGCTTAGGGCCACTAGGTATAAAATTTTGGAATAATTCCCAGAAGCAGGACTCAGACAACCAACTAAGATTAAGACGTTTATTGTACAGTCAATCAGAAGTGACCAGCAATGGCTGAGACAAACAGAATACTTGGTGGAGTGGTGCAGAGGCAGGACTGTTTCCAGCAATGTGAAGAAAGTGTGGAAAAGGGGACCTCCGGATGACTGGTCCTCTGTCAATGCGGGTGAGTACAGAGGAGAGTGGGCTGTCCAACTTCTATGTGGAGTGAGGACATGGGAATTGGACTCAAAGGACCTAAGGAAGGCTGAAAAGACCTCAGGGGCTGGTAGGTGGACAGGAGGGGGAAGCAGGCAGGTGTAGGAGATGAAGAACCGGACAGATTGCAGAAACCTAGCAGAGGCCAGTCACAAGACAAGCTGGAAGATGGAGGTCAGCTGGGCTTGCTGGATCCGGCAAAGAGTGGGGCAGGTTAGTTCGGTTGAAGGACACGCGGCAGCACTGAGGTAGCACCTGGACAGGCGGTGACTCAGGAGTGATGCAGAAATAGACTGGAGAGCTGGATGGATGCTGGACTGGTGATACTCAGGAGGGACTGAAGGGTGAACTATGTATATGCTGGGCTGGTGCTGACTCAGGCTTGATGCGGTACAGGCAGAGAGCTGAGATGACACTGACCTGGAAACAACTCCTACAGCGATGAGGAACCCCCAGGTGAGTAGAACTGAAACTGGTCTGGAGACAACCCAGGCTGCAATGAGGAACAAACAGGTTAGCTGAGCTATCACTGGTCTGGAAACAATTCAGCCTGCCATGAGGAAGGACCAGGTGAGCTGAGCTGTCACTGGGCAGGAGAAAACTCAGTCTATGATGAGGAGAAAACAGGAGAGCTGAGTAGAGCTGCACTGACACACAGAAGGGTCCTTGTCAGGCTGGCACAGAATGGAGTGACTACTGTCAGAAGTGTGGTTTGGAAGAAGAAAGTGGAGCAGAGACTACTCATGCTGAACAGCAAGAAGCAAATGGCAAGGGTAGAGGTAAATTTTTGTTGGGTAGAGGTTAGATCAGGACCAGCCGTTAACAGTATCCAGAGCAACAATAATAGGTAGCAGAACTTACTGGGCAGCTAGATTAGCAGGATAGATGTCTTCAGTGCTGGAAACCAGGAGCCACGGAAAACAGAGGAGCTAGTAAGAGGCAGGACTGGACACAGATTCGGATCAGGTAGCAAAATCAGAGACAAAGTTTCTCAGGAGGTAAGTTGGCTGGTGAGACATCATGAAGACAACAAACTGACTAGCAAGGATAACACAGCTGAGCCCAGACTATATACTAGCCAGCCAGATTGAATGATTAGTTTCAGCTGTGCCACTGTCTACCAGCCACAACCGATAACTCAACCAAGACTCCCAGAGAAGGGAGAGAAACTGAGGCAAGCATGTGACCTCACAGTTTCTAGCCTGGTTATGCAGGATCCTGTCCCTACTCCTGTAGGCCTCCTCTTTCTCATGACAGAGCTGTTAAGTCTCTGTCTGTCCTCTCCTTCTCGGTGAGCTGATCGGAGCCGCAGGACATGACTTCAGCTCAGCTGTTACTCATTGCCTAATCATCCTGGCGAAAAAATAAATATACCACAGCTGAATTCTTCCCTGTCGCCAGTCAGTTCCAATCTGTTGCTGATTCTGCTCTGGCCGGTTCTTACTACCTGTGTGTTTTGTCACTGCTTACAGCTTGCTATACTGAGTTCCTGTTCCCATTGCTCCAGTACCTCTCCTGCCAGCTTCTGCATACTCGCCTGTGCTCCTCACCACAGAGTGAGCTGCGTCCAGCCCTGCCTCTGCATACTTGCCTGTGTTCCTTGCTGCTGAATGAGCTGCCTCCTGGCCCAGCTTCAGCAGTCTCACCTATGGGTAAGATTGCTCTGTTAAAATCCCCCAAGATAATGAGAATGAAATCTGGGTGTTTTATACTTATTATCCAGTTGGGTAAGAGCTGCAATGCATTTTTGATGCAGGCCTGTGGTGAAATATAAAATATCTAAACAGCTTTCACTGTCAGTGAAAACGGGAAAAAAACATTCAGACTGAGCTGTCGGATGTTCAGAAGCTCATCCCTAGTGAAAGTAATCCAGGCAGAGTTGCAGAATACAGACAGAAATGACAACAGCAACAGCAACAACAAAAGTGCACAGAAGCACATGAGTGAAGCAGCCCTAGTAAAGATTGTAATTAGGTTGATATAATATTGTTGTTCTATCATTAATTATTATTGCTGTTGATGATAATATAGTTGACTCACTATGGTTATTAGCAATGCATTCTTCCTTTGTTTGACACTCTTGGTAGACTGTCAGTGGTTGGACAATCGAGCGGACCCGACTCACTGAGGTGATTGGCACTAAAAGTGTCGTAGTTTGGGCTCATGCTTCCTGTTCTTCTGTTGTTTTTCCCCAGATTCCCTGCTCTACCAGCATAATTAGCCATCATCACATCCACCTGCTGTATAATATCTCCTGGTCCAGTCTCATATACTGTATATACGCCCCTTTTCCATTAGCTGGTTCATTAGTCAACTCTCCTGTGCTCTTCACCAGATCATTATGTTTTATTCCTGAACAGATCTTGTTTTCTGTGCATCTGAACAGCTCTGAGACGGTGTGCATTTGACCTTCTGTGAGTAGCCACTTCCTCAACCTACCTGCGTGGTGTACTTACCTCCGATCCTGCAACCAAGCCAACATCTTCCTCGTCCTCCCATGAGTAGCCACTTCCTCAACCTACCTGTGTGGCATACTCACCTCCATTCCTGTAACCAGGCCAGCTCCTTTCTCCATCCTCCTCGTCCACCTGTCAGTCATCTCTCCCACCATTACCAGCTAAAATAGTGATTTGTAAATCATCTTTGCCCTGTATTACATTGAAAACAATATTTTCTCCACCCGTCGCCAAATATTTGTTCAAGAGGAATTTGATGAGTTTTCCTTATAATAGTGTAAGGTCTACACCTGATTGTGTAAAGTGCCCTGAGAAAATTATTGTGAATATATACTGTATGAAGCTCTACAGATCTTGCTTGTTGCTTCCTTTAGCTGCCTATTTGCTTTTTTTTAAATTTCAGATGACAGATTATACCAGAGACCAAGATCATTCTTGTACCAATTTTTTTTTTTAATTTTAATCAATGAGCACTTTATAAAATTGTCAAAAGATAGCATGTTTGATCTAGGATGTGTATTACAGGGCAGTTCACAATCTGGATAATGCTTCTCACCTGGCAGTGTTACTGGAATTGAATGCATATGTTCCAGCAAATCCAGGGTTTCAAAAAGCATTTCTTATAGAAGGAGAAAAACAGTCCAGTTCCAGCCTAAATTGTTCAGTTTTAAAGGTGATGAACTGGTTTAAGCTTAGGTTAAGGAATGAGGTTAAGCAAGTGTTATGGCTAAGGTTAGCGTGCATCTTCAGGAAATGAATATACTGTAAGTCAATGAAGACCCCATGAGGAATGAAATGTGTTCATGTGTGTTTGTCCATTGTCACTAGGTGGCACTTGTGTTTCATGATTACTTTAGGATTTAGACAAATGTTGGGAGTGAATTTCCTGCATTAAATGCACTTTATTAATATGCTAAATGGTTGTAATGGTGATGTATTTGTTTAATGTTTTTTGTCTTTTTCACAAATTATTATCATCATTTCTATTATTAACATAATTTTGACTCACCTTATTTCCAGATCATAAAAGAATTCCCATTTGATTCTCCTTAGACTTTATGAACACTATAATGCTTACTGGGACACTGAATAGCATGGAGCCATCAATAATGCTATCAGTAATAGCATGCACATTCATTGTGTGACAAACATGTCTATGGAATCTCCACCTTAATGTGGTAGAGAGGTTTGTGTATACCAGTGATCCTAGGAGCTGTGTTGTCCAGGGCATCAGCCCCTGGTAGGATCTCCCAAGGAAAATTGGTCCCAGGAGAAGGACCAGACTAAGAGCGATTCAAGATCCTGGTGAAAATATTTACTATAAGTTGTACTACCTCACCCAGATTACAGAAACTGAGGCACCTGTCATGATTCTGTCCCGCCTGTTTCCGGTCTCGTGCTTTTATTTTCAGTGCTATGCAAGTTGGGTGGCAGGCTAGCTCAAGTACTTGGGTGTGTTGATCTCTGGTTGCATAGACTAGCTTTAGAAACACAAAATGTCACCTCTCTGGTGGATATGGTGGTGTTAGGTATTTTTAGTCAGATAGAAATTGGATAGATACTTTATGTATTAGAAATGTTTAGTGGAGATAGGATGTCTATTTAGACTGTTAAATGCTTAGGCATGCTTATGAGTTTCTACAAGGTACATCTGGTCAAGGATAACTAGAGAGAAGAGTTGATGACTGTCAGCAGACAGGGTGTTTAATATTATTATTATGTGTATAACTGTAGCCTTAGCCATAATATGTTCTTATGTTTAAGTCACGACATGTACTAGAGGTCGTGTGAGAATGTTTTTAGCTACACACCACTTAACCAACAGACACACACACACGCACATTGATTTACTTCATGTTTTGACTACCGCTATGGCCAGCTGCAAAGCTGGTAACAGAGGTAAGAAGAACCAAAGCCCACAGTGGTATGAGCATATATCATATCATATATCATATTGTTCGATAGAGGAACAACTGGGTTTTGAGCACTGGCAGCGATAACCACTACTGGCGGAACAGACTTAGAAAAGAAAGCCTTCTGCAGAAATGAATGCCTGATCAACAGAAAATTTAAGGAGGAAGAATTCACAGTACCATCCAAGCAGTTTGATTGACATTTAACTTGTAAAATATAACTTTTTTGTAGACACTGAAGATCGGCACTGTTATATGAGGAAAGGTACACGTATTACTACACACTAACCATGGCTCTTTTGCATGCCACAAAATTCAATGATTTGTGAGTATCTGGTAGTTTTAATTATATTGATTATTTACACATATGCTTCCACAGTCAGATTAATGAAAACTGTTAATGAAACACAGTTTCATTCTAGTCAAATGTCTATTGAACTTATCTCTAGCAGCACACTAATACAGAAATGACTGAGGAACATGGGAAGAAGGACTTGTTGTTGTTTTCATGTCAGTTTTTGAGTTGCCAAAAACATTTTGTGTTGTTTTTAACCACAAACTCATCTAATACTTGCCATTTATCTGAAATACTGTTGCTGATTAGAAGCTTATCATATTAGTAAGTGAGGTTGTAGTGATTTAACACTGTGCTTGTAGAAGAAAACATGCTGTTCACTCAGCAGGCACAAAGAGCAAATGTTTAATCTGCATACCAATATAGTAATCCAGTGCAGTAGCTATGTAGTATAGCTACCATGGTTTCACCCAACAATGGCAGGGGTGTGGCTGAAACTCAACACAAACATGTCCTCTTCTCCCCTCATAAGACAAAGTAGCCCTGAATAGCTTCTGAAGTGTATGTAATGGGACTCCTGTTCCATATTGTTGACCACAAAGTAATCCAGTGTTCCAGTAATCAACATTGTTATCGTTACTGTGCACAAACCTTACAGAATCATACATAGGCCAAATATAATGGGAAAAAAATCACTATGAGAACAAGTGCAATAAAAACTCTGTGAATAATGAAAGGGAACTGTCTTATAAAAAAGAATCACAGTATTTCTTTCTTTCTTCTTCGTTCTTTTTCTTTTTTACTTTTTTTATCACTCACAGCCAAATCTTGTTCTAACATTTAGCGTGCTTTATCCAGGAACGTACATCTATGAATATGAATGAATTCTTATTTATTGATTTTTATTCCGTAAAATGACACGCAGGTGAGTATGTGACCCCGCCCCCGACTGGACGGGCGCTCTGATTGGCTAGTTCGAACAGCGTTGCCTCAAAACACAGTAGCACAGAGCACAAGTAACTCGTTGTAGGCACTGGAATATATGCAAAGTGAAGATTTCCAAAGGAAAAAGCGGTTTAAATGTGCGCAAACTGTCTGCTTTTTTGTTCGTACAATCTTATATCTTCTGCTGGTAAGTCTCAAACTTTTAGCAGAGTTGTTTTCATACTATATCTTACATGGGAATTAAGGGGGAAACCTGATGCCTAAGTTTTGGCCAGTGCTGAGTTATCCTCCCGTTTCTCTCCAGGATCATGAGGAAGCCTCGTGCAAACATGGTTTCAAACAAAACACTCAAAATGCTGTTAATTTGGTATATATCCGAAGTCTCGTGTGCCTTAAAGAGAAGTGTCAAGCTACCAGGAGTTTAAAATATGCTGTATTTAATTAATTGAAGTTGTGTATGATAGTTTTCAGGTTTTTGCCTAAAAATGGTCAAACATCACTTCTTTAGCGTAAATCATTTTACCTAAAAGCTTATCTTTGTTGATGCTTTTCTTTTCATATGAACTATAATCAAGTTTAATTAAATAAAAAGGGCACAGTTTAAGCCGGTTTACATCCCTGGACCTAAGATTTTATTGTGTTTGCTGGGTTTTGAGGCTTCCAGTGTGAAGCATACACATGTATCCTTGATTGGCTGTAGGGAATAAAATAGGTGATGGGATCAGTAGCTGTCTAACCCGGGAGAAGGTGTCTACTGAGGTGTGGCATGATAGTAATGCGAAATTACAGGGGCTGATGATAGAATTAATTGAATATTGTAGGTTCATTAGGAGAGCAGGTTAAGGTGGGGGATCAATAGCAGGCACTTGGTGCTTCTGTTTTTGGATCAAAGCACACACTGCCTGGCTTTTTATATCCTGCTGGTCGAGACCTACCTATTGTGCTAAGACAATGAGGAGGAGATATAACATGAAGTCTTGTTCATGTGGCAATCCTGCTTTCCTGTCTGAGGAAAAAAGCTGAAGTATAGGTTTGGCAGGTGTTTCCTGCAAAGAGGGTTACACCATGGAAGGACCATTCACACAATGCACTTCAGACATGATGATTTGTTTTTGTCTCTTGATCTTGTAATTTAGCCTGACATTCAAGGAATGGGCATTTAGTGTCACTTCATTCATGCATGTAAATAGAATTGTGGCTATTTATTATTACTTTTTTCTGTTTATAATGTTTATATGTGTCTGTATCTAATCCAGGGGTTTTCAACTACTGGTCTGGTCCATGAAGGTATTGCAGGTAGTCCCTGATGATGCATTTAATAATGTAGTTTCACTGTAGGAATCCTTTTTTTTTAACATTTCCATGTAGACTCATTATTTGTGAATAATCAAATTAATGCAATACAGGGTTATTCTAAAAGAATGAGCTGATTTCATTACGCAATATTTTATCGAGGAAAAGTAATACAAAACTCCAGCCAAGTCACAAGTATTTCACTCACAATCAACTTTAATTTCCTGTCTTACAAGTTTTCAATGTGTCCACAACAACAGCGTTCAACTCAGTGGTCATGATATGCTAATACGCGCCTGGGAAGAATTCTCTTATTGCATTGATGTTGCCCGTGCTGCAGGTGGTGGCCACATTGAACACTTGTAAGACAGGAAATCAAAGTTGATTGTGAGTAGAATACTTGTGACTTGGCTGGAGTTTTGTATTACTTTTACTTAATAAAATATTGCGTAATGAAATCGGTTCATTCCTTTTGAATAACCTTCTATCCATCCATCCATTTTCCTCCGCTTATCCGGGACCGGGTCGCGGGGGCAGCAGTGTAAGCAAAGATGCCCAGACTTCCCTCTCTCCAGACACTTCCTCCAGCTCCTCCGTGGGGATGCCGAGGCATTC